GGGGTCCGGGGGGCCGACCCCCGGGAAAATTTTGAAATCTAGACCCCTGGATATGGCTTTTGGTGCATTTTCAGTGCAACTTTTACCATTGATTGATGTAGATACTAGAAACAATTGCTTTTGTAACTAATACAAAATCAGCTGTTTTGTTGACATTCATGATATGTTGACATGTGTTTTTTAGTCATTTGTTATGTAACTACCTGATCTACCAAAATTCAAAAGTACAAACAGAGAAGCAAGAAGAAGCCATCAAGAATGATGAATAAACTTTTAATAATCAATAGAGATCATGGCAGACGTCTGTGTTTACAGGGAGTCACTCAGAAATACAGGAATCATTGCAGTGCAGAGTACAACAGTCTGAGGGTTGCAGGGAGGAGATCATGCTACTAGCCGACCAGACCTCCTACAACAATACATTGCACAAGTTACTTCCTCCTGCCTAAGTAATTGGAATCCTTAGTAACTTACTATACACAAGAAGTACAGCTGTAGTTACTTTTCAGGTATAAACAAAGTCATCCCAGAACTAACATTACAGCATGAGTGATACTGTAACTGGGCAGAGGACAACCACCTGACCTGACTCAGTGGACTGTCCTCCTAAGTTAAACTATACACAAGAGGTAGTTACTTGTCAGGTATACACTTAGATCTCTGAACATTACAGCATGAGTGATACTGTAACTGGGCAGAGGACAGCCACCTGACCTGACTCAGTGGACTGTCCTCCTAAGTTAAACTATACACAGCAAGAGGTAGTTACTTGTCAGGTATACACTTAGATCTCTGAACATTACAGCATGAGTGATACTGTAACTGGGCAGAGGACAGCCACCTGACCTGACTCAGTGGACTGTCCTCCTAAGTTAAACTATACACAAGAGGTAGTTACTTGTCAGGTATACACTAAGTCATCTCAGACTGTAGTACATTTGATTATTAGTACTACATTACAGTAGTTAGACTTAAAAGCATTCTGCATCAAGATCAGAGTCTGAGTCGCATCCTGAGTCTGGAGGTGTTTCACCCATGACTGCCTTAGCTACAGAAACCGCATCAGCCTCTTCAAGGAGCCTCAACTGGTCCATCTCAGCATCTTCATCTTGACTCTCGGACTCCTGGTAATCCATCAGGGCCTCCTCCTCGGACTGGGGAGGAGCCTCCTCCCCATACCGCTGTCGCAGCTGTGCCAGGGTTTTCTGGATGCGTAACTGTTGTCGCTGTTGTTTAATCTCCTGCGCCAGCTTCTTGGACCCATGCCTCTTCTTCTCTGCAAACCAGGACTTCACTGCAGAGGTCAGCATGCTGGTGGAGTCAGGGCTGTTCACTGGTGGACCATTGATGGAGATGTTCAACAGTGCATTGAGCATGTCTCCACCCAGCCTGGTCCGTAGGCGGTTTTTGATGAGCTTCACCTTGCTTGCCCCTCTCTCTGGCCACGCATTGGATAGTGGAAGCACCAATGCCACCTTTGCAATGTGCACAAGTGTTGGGTAGACATGTCCATATGAAGTCTTTAGCTCCATAACCCTTTCTAGGCACCACTGTGTGGCACTCCCTGTAGTTGGCGGTGTGGCACTAGCAGCACACAGACGTCCTGAGGTCTGGGGATCTTTAGGTAGCTGAGGCTTCAGGTTTGTGTGCATGTCGTACTTAAACTTCCCCCACTCTGCTCTGAGCTGACTCTGCTTGTCTTCGGAACCCTCGAAGAAATGGGTGGCTAGCACGCTTATCTTCTCTGAGCCATACGATCTGAAGCGTTCAGACTCAGGTTGTGGCAGTGCCTCGGGGTCGAATATTGACAAGGCTGAGACGACTGGAAGGCTGTCTTGAAATCTTCTGTCAATGTTCTGACAAAGTGCATCTGTGTACTTCTGTGTAAGGCCTGCCACCTGAACTTCGACCGCCTCTGTCAGGCAAATCTCTGTGTGCCTGAACTGTCCGTCATTAGGGTCCAGGTCCTGTCTGAGCTGATTGATGATGATGTTGGACTCCTCAATCTCCCGGAGCTTGCTCTTGGTGTAATCAATGGCAGGGGACACGACGGAGAAGTTCAGGGCATTTGCCTGGAAACTCTTTGAGAGCTGTGCTAACTCTGGCAGAACGTTCCTGAATATGATGAGTATTCCCAGAAACTTGGCTGACTTCATCTTTTTCAGGAGCCCAGTTGCAACAGGGCAAGACTTGAAGGAAGACAAGGTTTGCAGTAATGCCCAAAAGTCCGCATAGACTGTTTTAACTGACTGGTCGAAGCTAAGCCATCTTGTGTGGCAAGCTCTCTTCAGCTTTCGGCAGACGCTCTGCTGGGCTGATGGGGTCTTGGCTGCAGCCATGCCTTTGATGGCAAGTTGGCATTTGACGAATGCCGCTGTTCTTTTGGGTGAATAGCTCAGCCATTTCCAGACATTCAACAGCACCTCCTCTACATCCTTAATGGCTTTCAGGTCACCACTCGTATCGCAGCATGCCAGTGCCAGCTTGTGGCACACGCAGTGAAAGGCCAGGATTTTTTTGCAGCCAGGCAGCCTCTTCAACTTTGCTGCAAACCCGTCTTTCTTACCGAGCATGACACTTGCTCCATCCGAGCACAGGCCGTGAATGTCAGACACCTCCAGCCCACAGGCATCTAACAGTTCCGTGAAGTTCTCTAACAGAGCTTCCGCATTGGCCGACTCGTGGCTCTCCAGGACATTTTTGGTGCCAAGAAAGGCTACAGCTGGCCTGTTGTTGTCAGTGTCCACGAACTGTACAAATGTTATCATTTGTTCCAGGGCTGCAGCATCTGTTACGTCGTCAACCAGGACACCAAACACACCGGATCTCTGAATTTGCTCGATGACAGACTTCTGGATGGTCTGTCCAATGGTGAGGAAAACGTCCTTGATCGAGCCCTCACTTCTGTGTTCGAAGTACTTTACATCGGGGACACCTACACCCTCCAAAAAGTTCAGCAAGGGCAGGAACTTTCTGTTGGCAACATTCTCCCTCGCAATGAAGTAGGCACAGCTGAATGCTTTAAACACCGCAGTGAAATGGGCACCCTGCTTCTTCTCGAATTCTTTGTTGATGATACTGCCTCTCTTCTGCTGGCACTCTATTTCCGAGCTACGTGTGTGGACATTGCATTTGCCATGGTCTGTCACTGCCGACCTCTTAAACCTGACCGAAGGTACCCTGGCATACTTGTCACTTTTGTTTTGCGTGTTTATCTGATTGTGCTTCTTGCACAGCAGGCAATACATTCCTTCACCCTCCACGTATGCTAACCACCAAACCCCTACACTGTCATCAAAGGAAACATCCTTCTCAAACATCCAGTCATGCTTGAACTTTTCTTTCAGGTGTTTCACTCTTTGGCTTTCAGAGATGGAGAAGGAGGTACAGTTCTTGGACCTGCATGTGTAGTAGCTGTGCACGTGTTGGGCCTTGTCGAACAAAGACTCCACAAGGCTTTTTCCTTCTTCGAGGGAAATGCCAGGATGAGCAGCAACGCCAACTGGAAGAAAAATAAAATTTTGAGACATAAATCACTTAAACCACAGATGAAAGAAAACATCCATCACTCGCCAATGTACAGAAAAGAATTGCCAAACTTTCTACAGACAAAGTTATGCAAAGTTATTACCATGGAGTTATCAACAAATCAAGTTCAATTTTATATTATGTAGAAATGAAAAATTTAGAATCTTAGAAGAAGTTTTTTTTTTACTTTCTGTATAGAGAATGAAATAAATGCAATGTTACCTTCAGAACGAACCGAAGATCCTCCAAGACTGGTAGAAGGACCTGCACCGCTTTCAGTCAAGTTTTCTTCAGCACCGGCATCTACAAAATAAAAATCATTGGTTTTCATTTATTTGAGCAATAAAGAAATATAATAACACAACCTCAAAGTTTACTTCATTATGCCCTCATCATGTGTTTGTAATATAAAATAATCAATTGTGTTCTTTACAAGGAAGGCTAACTATTTTATTATCATGTATCAATATTTTTTCATTGAATGATTCAAATGTCATACCTTGTGAAGGACCCTTGCAAGTTGCAGCTGACGTGGATGAAAGTACTTGCAGCTCAATCTCTTCTGGTTGATCATCTAGAGAATGGTTGAATATATAAATATCACTTAAATGATTTACATCAATCCACAATTCCATAGCACGCCCCCTAGCTAGTCTGGATGGGGGGTCAATCGGTTCACCGTTGGGTGAACGGAGTAGTTTGATTTACGGCATCCAATTTTAACACCCGGCCGAAGCCTCGACGAATTAACTTTTTTTCCCCGACCGAGCATGGTCTCGACTTCCGAAAATAAAAAGTGAGCCGGTAAGATCGGACGAAATATTAAACGCACGCCCAAAGGTCATCGACCCCGCAAATGCGGCCTGTTTATTATGCAGCACCGCGAACTTGGTACACTCGACGGGGACACAAGAAAACTCAACAAATTGTTTAAGTAGGCAACCATGGTCAAAAAATGCCAAACCTAATTTTCATTTTACATAGCGATTCCGACTATTGCCCAAACTAAGGATCCCCTTAGCCCTCAACCGCGGTTGCGACCCCCTTTGTGTTTCACACCGACGGGAAAGACGTGCGAGGTGTCTATTGTTATAGATAGACCATGGCGTTAAGAGAATTCAGAGTTGCTTTTACCTCCACGTTTTTCCCGTCGACGTGGGGTTGGATTCCTTTGCCGAGGAAAAAAAAAGATTTTTTGAACAAGTTCTGCAGAACTTTAAGTGAGACTCAGTTTTAGTAAATCAAACGCGATATTAGCGTCCGTGATGCAAACTGAAAATACATAATTTAAATCGTGCTCACTGCTCGGTTAGGTTACAATTTACATCAGACGTCACCACCAGTACGGAGCCCTTAGACCACGAGAGATAAGAATCTGAGCAGCGGACTGAATTTAATTTATGCAAGACCGCGTGGTTTGCGGCAGTATTTTAGCACATTTCGGGACAGAATGAATAATTCATCAATAACAGCTTTGTTATCGCCGGTCTGTTTCCAAGAGGTTTTTTCTCACTGTGAAATCCTCTGAAAAACGCTGTAGATACCATTTCAAAATTCCCCAGGATCCTACTTCCCTAGAAAACTTGCTCATAATCTCGAAGCCCGTAATATATAGTCGTTACTCGTATGCTAAAAAACAACAACAAACACGCAAGATGGCCTCGAGGCTTCAAAAATAGAATTGCCCAAAACGCAGTTGTACTTGAAATTGTCAGTTCGTTACATTGCTTCTATTTTCGTGTCTTAATTAAAAACAAAGAAAGGGTAATAAGGGCGAGAGAGATACTACCTATATCAGAATATTCGTTACATACCTTTCTGCTTGAAAAAGTCGGTAATCCTGCGTTTTCGTCCAGAAGCCATGCCTGTTTAAGTTTCTGCAAACTTCCAGGCCTTGAAACTTGATAACGAGGCTCCCTAGTTCGTAGATTTCCGTGCATTGTGCGTAACCAATCACAGACCTTCGGCAAAAGCCGAAATTTCCCGACGTCATTCGGAAAAGTTCGCTCTTTATTGTGATTGACAGGCGAGACTTAGTGGCGCTACCGGTAGCGGCCGCCCTGACGACAATCTTTCTAGTGATTGGCTGAGAAGTTTCTTGTAACCCCCGGCGTGGCTAACACCGTCGTGTCATCGCTACTTCAAAGGGCCTCAAAGCCATGCCGCCCTGAGTTCCTCCGCCGGCCCGCTAGAAATGAGCTCTCGCCCGGCGACGTAATATTAATCATACCCCCTAGGTTTAGAAATCTCTCGCCCGGCCACGTAATATTAATGAATGAATGAAGACCTTTATTGCACATTTCTGCCACACTTGGATAAGTACAGGTCACAACAAAACAAAATTAATCATACCCCCTAGGTATGAATGAACTCTCGCCCGGCTACGTAATATTATGAAATGAACTCTCGCCCGGCTACGTAATATTATGAAATGAACTCTCGCCCGGCCACGTAATATTAATCATAAGCTCATCCTCATTTGTTTGTACGTGTGTTTCAATTCTTTGTCTTAGACATATAACAAAAAATAAACATATTTATGTTGCGATCCCGAGTGAATGAACAATTTCCCCGATATCCTGTTATTTATCTTGGACTCATTGGGAACACCAATCGTAGGCCAAGATTTAGTCGAGCCTCCATTGCCGTGGAAACCAGCTAGTAGCATGCCACTTCTCGGCGGCGCCGGCGGGCAGACGGTGGGCGGGGATATTCCGCGCTGAGAAATGCGATCCCCCTGCTCGCCGGCGGGTGTTGGTTTCCCACAGCGTGTCCCAGCTTCTAGTTCTACGTGCATGCCGGCCAGGTCATTAGTGCACGCGACCAACGCCCTCCCTCTGAGTGCGACTCGTGCTTGTTCGCACATCGTAAACAACGATATTGCACCAAGCAGATCCGGAAAACTATCAGAAAATTGCCAGACGATTATCAAAAAAATCGGCCGGCGAAACGGCCGGCGATTCTGTAAAGTAGACGCTGGTAATCATTGTTTTATTTTTTGAAATTTTTTACGAAAGTAGCCGGCCGAAAAATGAAAGTAGGCGGCGATTTTCGCCGGTAGCCGGCTTGTTTTGAGAAGGCTGCTAGGCCTTACCAGTGCAGAAAAAAAATACTGTATTTCGAGCCCTGCCATGTGTCAGTGTATCTACATGTAACTGTTACAGTATGACAGACAAGTGTAAGGCTGGCCAGGCACATATGGTTTACACATGGCACCATATTCCCTGACCACAGAAATCCAAACATTGCCATCAGCACTTTAACACAAGACTGACAGGAACATTCTGGTAGGATTCCAACCCTGGTTTCTAGCCTTGGATGGTAGTAACATATTATAATAGACATTTTTACAGTCCTTTTCTTTTACAACTCAATCATTTAATTATCATATTGATTCTTTTTGATATACATGTAACCCCCAAATTAATGTGATAACTGTTCAATTCCCTATGCAGAGCTTAAAATACCACCTGTGTCTGCTGCTGGTAATTTTCAATGAATGCATCTAAAAGAAGGATTTCGAGTCTAGCATAGTACTGTGCTTGTTAATGTAGCTAGCAAAGTAACAATAAGCTTTGAGCAGTGGGGCAAGTGCCTGGGGCAAGTAGAAAATTCAAGGCTTTTGATTTCATTCTTTCCCATTTCTACCATTCAACAGTATCTCTAGATTTCATCTTTATTACTCCTAAAGACAGACTTACATACTTGCACGTAAATGTACAAATGTGCTAATATTGCAGACAACAGAAAGAAATGTTTTCGAGTTCTACTGAAATCAAAGGATTTCTTCAAAGCAAATCCTAAAGATCCAAAATCTCCCCGACTGTCCCTCCTGTGCATTCATATGCAGTGGCCCAGGGATAATTTGCCCACTTTCACAGCCCAAATTGGCTGCAATTAATTCAAATAGTCCTTCAGGTGCACTGCTGACCACGCCTACCAAGATAAGGAAAGCTACCACTTGACTTGAAAGGCAATGCTTATCACTATCAGTGCTCACACTCTTACATGTACCTGTATCTGTATCGGTATAGCCGGTATAACCGACCATCGGCGTAACACACCAGCTTTGCAGGCACGCGGCGCGGCGGCAGCTAGCTATATCACACCGAACGACTTGTTACACTCGATCTTTGCACATTTGATTGCAGGAGTTGTTTAAAGCTTTCTAGTGATGATGCCCCAACTGTGCTTGGTGGCAACGAGTTCCAGTCTACAATAGTTCTGGGGAAATACGAGTTTACCTGCCAAATCCAAAGCAATTTCTGGGTGACAAAACTGGATTTTTAAACTCAATTTTCTTCTCATTTTTTTTTTAATTTAGGAACTTCAATCATATCATACTGATATCTGTGAGGCAAAAATGTGATGTCCCTAACATAAAACAGTTACATTTTTTGCATCACACATTGGATCTAGCTATCTTCTGAATGCATAAATGAATGAATAGTATATTATGATGTCTGAGAAGAGTTCAAATTTGTGCCAGAATATATATATTATTAAAATTTTTCCACTGTGTTGCCATTAATGCATGGATTATTGTATGAATCTGTCAGATTTTGTAATAATTTTATATTATAAATTATCAATCGTTGGTTCAGACTCTCTCTTGAGAGCTTGTTTCATTTAATCCATGACTCATGACTTCTATTAAAATACCTGCATATTTTGATATTACATCAATTCATTGTTTCAGCATTTATAATGGTAGGGCTACAGGGTAAAAAGTATGTGAGGTTGTCAGCTATTGAATTCACAATGTACTTTTTAAGAAATCATTTGTTTAAGTAAATTGAATGTTGTATTACCAAGATATTTGTAATCAAATTTGGTAAAAAAAAAACTATTTTTTATACTTTCATATCTTTTTCATGGTACACATTAAAATGGTGGACTATCTTGTCATTCTTTTCTGCAAATCACAGATGGCCAAATTACAAGTCAATTTCCAAGAAATATCTTGCATATTTTATACAATGAGTCATTCCATAATAGCATATCTAAATACGTGTACATTTACTAATGATTTAGCTGCAATAAAAAAGAGAATTTTTTTTTCATTTTAACAAAAATGAATGCATAAAAATAATTATCTACTAGAATAGTAATTAGAATCAATACACAACATAACCAAAATCTTTTCAATTACCAACCAGAAATCAATTATATTCATCATTCCCTTCATCTATTGGATAATGCTTAATTACCTTAGTTACGACAATGCCAAAGAACAGTCATTACAATACATATACTTATATCCATATTTGGTAAGGCTTTTCATTTCAGATACAATCATAACTAGAGATAAGCGTGCTGCAAATATGTTGACATCATAGATTATCATAATGTACCATTGTAGGTGCAGTCATAAATTAACGTTAGTGTATGGGGTGTACTATTTTTGTTGTACAGTAGTTAATATTTACCAACATGCATTGGGTGTGTCGGGCTGTTGTAAAGTCCATTTGTATGCTAAGCCAAGTGTTCAAAGGTACTGTATTATGGTCAGCTAGTCCAAAGTACAAGGAAAAAGGGCAAAAAAACAACTATGGTATAAAAAAAAACTGATAAAATTAAAAAGGGCAAGGTCTTTAGCATTTCTGAATAAATCAATTCATATTTATCAATTCAATATGAAAAATCCTTGGAGTTCTTTTATAAGCCATAATCCTTTAGAGGCCAATCTATTGAACAGGAATGCAATAAAAAGATAAAAATATTTTCTTACAAATTACAAAACTGCTATCAAACCATATTAATATTCAACTGTTATAAATCCATCCTTCAAAAAAATACAGAATAAAACGAAAGGATTCACAAGTTCTGAAAAATTTTACACTATGGTCACGATAACCTTTTGTGCTCGCTACACAGGCCATAAAATAGCAGATATGAAATATTAATATGCCCAATAACATGTGTCTCTGTCCCAGACAAGCTGAAAAAAAATGAAAATTCATTACAATAGGGATGCATCTCTTTTACTAATTGTATTGGGCCAGAATAAGCTATATCTTCTTGTTTTATCAGGGAACTTAATTGTCTTGCTTTGTTGAAAATGTCTTCAGGGAATACCTGTATTATTATCAAGAACAATCCATCAATTGTTTCTTTCACATTGTGATGGAATTTGGGTCATATAATACTGTGGAAGAAATATGGTTTCATATGAACGAGTGGTATAATATTTGACAGGGTCAAGGAATTATGACCCCAAATAACCTAGATTTCAACCACACAATTTCAGGAAGTGGGTGAAACAATTTCTTTAAAATGGCCCTTAGGAATTTTTTTCTTTTCTTTTCTGATGGAATATGTGGAAAATCAGGAAATACCAGACTATAGAATACACAATAATTGCCTTTGTAAAATGGCCTTCAAGCTTGAAAAAGACAATAACACAACACAGCAGGTGTGTAAAACCACAAAAAAAAAATCAAGTTATAGATTTAGGCAAAAATAATTTCTCCCTTGGGAATTTAATACGGCATTTCCAGACAGGGTTTAAATAGCTGACATAGACAATGATGTCAACTACTGTTTGAATTGTCTTTGTCCTAGCTCATCCTGATCAAACAAAAAGAAGCCAATACAAAACCGACAATGTCCAAGTGTTTGAGGCTAAACACACACCCCTCCCCCAAATTGGGGCCCCCTGCTACTAAACCCAATACAACTCCGACCTCTAATCGCCCCAATGGAGGTCACTTATACGATCTTTTCGGGCGTTTCGCCTTCTCCTAACACGAAGACAGATACATTTGTGTATTCTGTGTGTAATATGAAATGTTTGGGTAAGGAAATGGCTACGTTTTCGGGTGGGGTGACATCGTTTTGGGGCGAAAATTGCAGCAGGCGCACCTTTGACCTGAAGCACGGGCTAGCTCGGGTGCCCACCGCCAAAGATTCTCGTCTGTCACGTATATAATAATCCACGTGGCCTGAAAAAAAGGCCTAACAACGATCTTAACTACCTATTAGCTATCAAACCGGCTGGGTCTAGTTTTAAATGATCATCACGTCAATGTCGTAATATACTTACAGTCTAAATGCTTCTTCTTGGGGCCCATGACTTCATGTGTGGTGGCTTTCACCGCCGACTTGCACAGCGCCGAGCCGGTGATACTGTGCTGCACCGCCGACAGACGGTCTGTCACGCTCTGCCCCGACATCCTGGGACACGAAAAAGACACAAACCGCTGAGTTTTAGTCCCAAAGACGGGCTAGAATGTGGTTGAATTCCCCGTGACAGGATGTACCGGGCTTGACGCCACAGCAAATGGCTGCTCGGGCAAGATGGCGGCCTGTGTGTCCACCTCCCCCGGGTCACGTGAGCGTGATGCCGCTCCCACCTGTCAGAGGAGCCGCCAAATTCAATTTTACTCACGCTGCTCTAGCCTCTACCAGGCTTCGGGAAGCGATTTTTAAAGAATAGAAATTGGTCCGCTATAGACTACAGATTGCCGCTAACATGATATCTGTCTATTTGACCAATTTCTACTCTTTCCAATCGCTTCTAAAGCTCGGTAGAGGCAAGGAGGTCCGTACCAAGCAGTGATATGTTTCAAGGTATTTTCCGGTCCTGTCTGTATATTGACAATCAGGCATAAAAATATACAGTTAAGGACCGGGTACCACTGACGATAGGTGTATTTCAGTCTTTCACTTTGCTTTTCTATGCCTGCAACTGTCCCTTTTTCCACAGTTTCTGAAACATCGGCACAGCTAGCTATATTTGAAGCATTTTGACGCGCGATACCACCTGTCGGATCGTCAGAGAAGTACAGGAGGTACGCTCTGCGTAAAGCTAGTACACAAAAAGACGACGATTTTGTAGACCTATTGTAACTCCCGAGTCCTATCTACATCCTCTCCGCAAATAGAGAGGATGTAGGACTCGGGAGCTATAAAAGGTCTGGTAACCAGGCTAACGATTTTGTACCGTCGTATCGTAATATCAAAGCCATAATCATGCGAAAATCCCCTTTGCATGCGAAAATAAACGCGCTAAGCTAGCCGAGTACTATAGCTAGTCGTGTGGTTTTTCCGAGCAGCTGGTTACACGGCAAGAACCATATGTCACCGGCCGGTCTTGAAAGTGACCCCGTGTTTGCCGATGTCAGTTACCGTGTACCTGCGAAGACTGGCTCCGCTGTTTGCAGAACTTTTCTGGGGGATCAAATCTGGAGCCGATTTGCTTACTTCTATCGGTCTCGTGTACGGTCGTTGCTATTTGAAACGGTAGATACTAGTTATATAATTAGATAAAATCGAGGATGATTTTTGTTGACAGTACATTATACAGAAATGAGAGGAAATTTCTCTAAAACTGTATAGAAGATAAGTTTCAAAGTTTTCGAAATTTAGGTAAAACAAAAACAAGAAAACATTTCCGTCAGCGACATCACAATTTTGCATCACAGATATCGCGGTATGGGATAGGGTTGAGTCAAATTAATACATTTTTAAAATGACCAAAAATCTAATTTTGCTGCCCTGATATATCATTTTTGGGTGCCTTTGAAAGTTCCCACCAAAAATTGTTTGTGGTAACACTTTGCTGTATCGACCGGGAAACACGTTTAAACGAATCTGGATTCCAGTGAATGCATTTGGATGGGACAAACTCAATAGACTCCAAGCAGAGGTTTGGGTTTTGGATTATTTTTGGCGTGTTTTAGGCTTTTTTTAATCTGGATTTCTGTTTTGCAATAAAGTCTTTTAAGGCAACCCAACATCAATTTCAATGAGAAAAAAAACGATAAAAAAGACTAAAAACACGACAAAAATAAGCCAAAATCCAAGTCTCTGCTTGGAGAGTACAAACTCAAGTCCCCTCGTTTTGTTCTGGACATGAACGCAATGAAAGCTGGTTCAACATGGCTGCTCGTGGTCCGGTCGGCGCCTTTAGCCCTAGCTGGAGTACCTGTTGACTGCTGTAGATGGTCGATTTACCCCATTCTTACCTGCAACCTCGTCAAGGCCGAGAGAGGTCATGGAACAACGACAGAAGACATAAATAAGTATGTTACAAAAACACCGAAGGACAGAGGAGAGAGAGAAATTCGAGTGGTTGAGATGAAGTTAATACGGGGGTAAGAAGTACACGCAGACGGTGTTTTGAAACGGAAAGGAAACCTTTTATGCGGTCACAAACAGACAGTGTTGTCTGCGTTTACATGCCCTCTTTTGATATGTTTTTGCAACAAACGGTTTGAGAGGTTTGTGCTTTTGGTTGGAAAACAGACATTACGCAAGAGGGTAATCACGCAAGTATATACCACAGGAAGGTCAACTTGACTGTACCTTGGCTGCCAGACTTCACGGGACAGATCCTCGGCATCAGGGCCAACATGCTCCCAAGGAAATTATACCACAGCCCCTTGATCACACGCCAGTTACTAGTAACTTGGGACCAAGCGTGCTAGCTATGGGTCTGGCATCCAGGCTAGCTTGGCTGATACTCCGTCCAACAGAAAAGTGTGTGCACCTTGCTGGTGCGCCCCAATTTTTTTAGGGGGAGGGGCAACGTTGCTCTTAAGTCAAAAAGTCTCAAGTCTGGAGCCCTGTCGCGTGACTTCAAAAACGTTACTGAAAGTGTTTTTTTTCTATTCCAACATTTATTACGAGACATGGTGACGGCACACTCAAGTTTTTCCAACTTTTTTTTTGCCGCCACTAACGCAGACAAACGCATGAACTTCGCGGATAACATGTTACAGACATAGTCAGCTCTTTAAAATTTCTCACTCGAGTTAAGTAAGAAAATTCGTGTGAAGTGCCTTTCCCAAGGGCATAAGATCGGTGGCATGGCAGGATTCGAACTCGAGACCTCTTGGTTCTGAGCCGAACGCTTTGTCCACACGACCCCATTATCCTGGTTGAAAGGTTATTCACATTCCTTGCAGGAAAGACGCCGGTCCAGCCATGTGCACATGGAACCCGAGGCGTTTCTTCAGACTTCCCTCGGAATTCAGCCTCAAATAGCACCGAACAAACAGCCGAATTCTTGTCTGAACCTGGCAAATTCCCATCTCCTTAGTTTTCTAAAATATCTGCGGCACCTAAAGCGATTTCAGGGCAGTAAAATTTAAAAAATAGACTTTCAAAGTCAACTTTCTGGTCAGCTTTTAAATGTAGTAAGTTGAGCATATAGCGTACGCAAAAATGCACAAAGTCAATTTTCTGGTCAGCTTTTTAAATGTGGTAAGTTGAGCCAATAACGTACTGATATCTGTGAGGCCAAAAAATGCGAGAAATGCACAAAGTGAACTTTCTGGCCAGTTCAGCTAATAGCGTATATCTGTGAGGCCAAAAAAAAATGCATTTTCGTTGACGTTTGTCGTTGGCGGTAAACGGTTGATTGTTAACGTTTTGTATTGTGGGCTGCCTATTTATTGGTGGTACCAAAAATTAGGGTCGCGACATCTGTAGGAAGTGATTTTTTTCTTTCTTTGCTTTTAGACTTTGGCGATCTCTAGAGTGATCCAACTTATACAATACAGTTTAACAAAGTAGAACTTACATGAGGACACTTTAATTTCGATGTCAATGTTTGAAAACTGATTGTACAATGTTTCATCACTCAGATGTCAGATCAATAGGTCGATCAGCAGTTCCAAAAATGTATGTCCCTTGCAGTGATCCACCCAAAAAACGTCCCAAAAAAGCTAGGGTCGGCAATTTTTTTCTAGGGTCGGTCGGGAAACAGGAAGCACATTTTTTTCCTAGGCCTTATACAACGTTTCGCGTGACAAATTGCGTTTCTCTCACTCAGCACACGGATAAATTCCTGTTGACAATCGATTCAGTGTTTTTAATGTGTCCAAAAACAACACCGTGTCCAACCTCTTAAGGGTCGATAGAAAGACTGCCCGTGTCTGGAAGCCTTTCTTTCGGATGCCCTCCCCCTTTCCGGCTCAATATACAACGTCTTCAACAATGATGTCAATGTTAGAAAACTGATTGTACAATGTTCCAAAAATTCATGTCCCTTGCAGGGGTCCACCCCCGAAAAAAGTTCGATTATGTGTTTTTAATGTGTCGAAAACAACACCGTGGGGTTGGGGTCGATAGAAAGTCTGCCCGTGTCTAGGAGCCTTTCTTTCGGATGCCCTCCCCCCTTTCCGGCTCAATATACACTGTCTTTAACAATGATGAAATCAGCGCCATGTACCTAGCTGTCCTACTTACGAGTAAATACGTCTTATTGATCGTACGCCTTTGTCAACTGTAAACCGTAACGTCTCTCCTAGGGGTAGACGGTTGTCTTAGGTCAGGTGTTATTTCTTTAACCGCATTCTTCAACTTTAAGACGTATGAATTTCGTGCCACATGCACACGCAATGGCGCTGTATTCTAAATCTCATAATCTTCTTTTCTTTCTTATATGAGTGTTACACCAATATTTACTTTGGATGTAATAAAATCTAATACCATCTCAGTTCTTCCGCGACCCCTTTCTGCTTTTTTTAGGCTATAAATTGACGAAAAAGGTATTTGAAAACATTTAATAGTGCGATAGTACAAACTAAGCCGTATCCAAACCTACGGAGTCTAAATTTAGTCCGAGTTTTGTCTTGGGGAAGGATTTTTTTCCCAGTGCCTTTTCTTCTATCATTACTGTATTGATATCACCGTCCGCTGTATTTATTCTGCAAGGCTTACAAATTAAACAGTCCATGACGAAGGACACGCATTCTCCGATATAAAAACACACAAATAAAGAACCTTATCCGATACACCGCGAAGAAACCTGTCAGTTTAAAATGTGCTGTCTACGGAAAAACTGAAGAAAAAAAATCCCGCTTAGCCATACTGAGAGATTGGTAACGATAGATTAAGAAATAAAAACAGATGAAAACCAATCACTTTGTTCTGCTCTATTTCGACTTTGCGGAACGGGGTTACCTTACCGACGAGACATGGAGAATGTTGGCGCCATGTTCATAGCTGGACTCCCGTGCGTGTAGTATAACGTCTTCGCTATCTTGGTCAACTCCTGGGCTTTCTTAGAGCTCCCGAGCATGGTCCTGACGCGTACGGGAGTCTCGCAGCATTCTCCCGGCAGAAGTGTTGATGTGGTCCGGGCTTCTCCAAGCATATCCGTGATCGATTGGATCGGGTTTTATAGAGACCCACTTTGCTTAGGATTTACACGTTTTAAGGGTGCTTCCGTTTTAAAGAGAGCCACTTGGAGATTTTGCCTTACGTTCATTTATCAAGATCAGTTCTCGAGATAGTTGGAGGAGGGGGATGGGGTTGGGGGAGGGGGTTGGAGGGACTACAGTCTGTATCTGGGTATGGTTGCCATCTGAGGAGAGGTTATATTCTCGGGGTAACGACCCACGGAAAACTTTGCCCAGCTCATCTCTGTTTACAGTTCCACCCAGTGTATTTTTCACGCCGGGTGTAAATAGGCGAAAGCCGGGTAGGTTTTTCAGGAGAAGAAAGAGCGGGCCTTATTCTGGTCAGCTCTCGGGTTTCACCGGACATTATTTGGCATGTTTGCTCCCAGCTACACGACACCACTGCAAACACACACTGAGTGCCTATCGGTAGATCCAGGACCTTTCACTCACAACCCCACCCCTTGTTAAAGAACCCAGATTTGAAGTATCTATTGATTAATACTTACCTCCTTGCTGGGGACCATTGCCACGGCCGGGAGTTGTAGGTATTGAACACCGTCGGGTCAGCCATGCATAACGCGCCAACACTTTTTTTCTGAAGAGAAATACTCGGAGGTTTACGGAACTCCCGCCTTTGGACACTTGAGAGCTGCCGGCAGCTACTAGAATGCTGGGAAACGTTTCATTGGCCCGGATAGACCCCGCAAGGCATTGTGGGAAGGTGGACGTGAGGTGTGACAGAATCACTTCGACAGAACGTCTCATTTAAGGTCGTTTTCACGTATTTTTAAGAATGACATTTCGTCTATAGTTTTCAAATGTTGTGTTTGAAAATTTATCCTCTGCAACGGGTAATATTATAATGCAATATTGATCAAATATCCGACGAAAAACTCATGTTTCGCGCAGGCGCAGCACGTTCTGCAGACGGTACTGTGTACAGGGAACTAGAGCGTGTCGTCTTGACGTAACCTCTGACCTCACCCATTCACCTGTTCCCCTGACCCGTCGCTACTGGAAACCGCACACGCCGCTAGCTGTCGTCTGAACCCCGTCTGGCGGCAGGGCTCCACATGTGGCACCTTCAGAAATAGCACGGCAGGGCGGCGAGGGCCGACCTATATCTGATCCTCTGTCAATCTTTAAGGCACCCAATGCAACTTCAGGGCGGTAACACACACATAAAGATATTCTGGATTAGGAAATCTGTCTGATATTGACATTTACTGCCATTTCTTTTATACAACATTGTACGTGAAGCGTTTGAAATAGCCCTGAAACAACCTATGTGAGGAAATAGCGTTTGCTGAATATCCTTAGATGAAAGCGTTCTAGTCAGTCTTTATCGGGCTATTCTAACACTGTTGGTTCAAAAACAGTACTAAAGTAACCAAATAGGGAGAATAATTTGCCAGAGGAGTCCAGACACCGTCGAGTTCAGTTCGTAAAACCCCAATCACCAGGTAAACATATACCCCAGGCTTCAGTCTGGCCCTAGTTTTGCCGAGATCTATTTCGCCCTACCCCCTTAGGAAAGCCTGATCTATTCCGACATCTTTGATCACGGACAGCCTGTCAAGTTTTGGCAGACGGTATGCCATGAATGAGTCATGAGACCACCAACCCGTCAAAGTCTCGTCAGCTAACATAACGTGTACTGGGTAGTAACATAGATTGAGTAGGGGGGTGGTGAGGACTTCGAACTCATTGGACTGAGGCACTGATCATACTCTGAGCGATTGTCACGGTGGGATACAGGCACACACACACACACACACACACGCGCGCGCGTACACACACACACGCACACACACACACACACACACACACACACACACACACACACACACACACAAACAAAAACACACACATAGACAGAGACAGGCGCGCACACAAACAGATACATGGAAACACACAGATACATATTGAAAAAGACAGACAGATACACACACACACACACATATATATATATACAGAGAGAGAGAGAGAGAGAGAGACACACACACATATATATACAGAGAGAGAGAGAGACACACACACACACGCACACACACACACACACACACACACACTGGCACTGAGATTGAGAGAGAGACGGGCACACACACAAACACACGCACACACACACACACACACTGACACACACACACACACACACACACACACACACACACACACACATACAGTTGTACAAACACATCCTGACACAAATACACAGAAACACACAAAAAGTCATGCACTAAAACGCAAACACATCCCATTCAGAGTTGTCCCAGGTTTAAAGTCCCCCTGTACATGTACGTACTTGTGTTCAACCTTTCTGATCTTTGTTCCTTCTTTATTTGTTTTCAGCCATGGGCGTTTCCGTGTATAGGTCAAGGGTCACATACGAAAATACCTGTGATTCTTTTCAAGCACAGCAACCCAAAACTTTAAGGGCGATTAACAAGTATTCAAGGAATTACCTCACAAATAACGAGGGACACTATCTCTTGCATTGTTGATAAGTAAATGTCATGTCAGAGCAAATACGAACGGTAAGGCCAGAAATGATATGAACATATGCACAGAGCGGTACAGTTTCTAAACGTAACTGCGTAGCAAAAACAACATGACCGATTCAGCATTTTGCACGGACAGATCTAGACTTTAAACAAAGGGAAAGAAAAGGAGAGGGCGGGTAACAATTGCGACGTAGATAGACTTAATGCAGAAAGAGGTTGGGTACAAGCAAGGTTCAGATATACACACAGGTAGCCAATTGGTTTTAAAGGTATACAATTGCAATTTTAGAGCGGCAGCAAAAGAAAAAAAAGTATTCTGGATGAGGAAATCTGCCATTTCGTAGCTTATTTTCGTCGCCATTTCATGTTTCAACCGTTTGAAATAATCAGAAAAGTAGCTACGAAAACGTGGGAAGTTCCTATATTTTTGGGTACTACCAGTAAATAGCTAGAATCAGCCTACGACACCAAACAAGCAACCGTTTTCCGTCAGCGACATCATTTTGTCTCACAGATATCAGTATGCTATGGTATATATGTTTGATTCAACTTACTGAATTAAGAAGGATAAGAAAATCCAGTTGCATTTACTGCCCTGAATCGTTTGAGGTGTCTTTAACCTAAAAATGACTGTATATTAAAGTAGATCGTACCTGATGAAAGGAGATGGCACAGCGAAGTGATACCTTCCTATGCTGAACCTCAACATCTATGTCATCATTAGAAGGTCCTAGTATGTTGAAGATCGTGGCACAGCTTCTATCGATGCGTCTTCGAGAGAGAAATCTCTGTGGTCTACTTAGAGGCGATCCACACAACGTTTCGTCCGGGCACAAAACGACTCATTAAAAATGGCCAGATGCATTCCAGAGGGGTTCAAAGTGCAGCAAAGTGTACTTATTAGTAATCGTTTAATGACGTACAATTCTATCAGGTCAGGATAACCCCGTAGCTAGCATTGTTGGGTGCACAATGCTCTTCTTTTGAAAGAAAGGATACCACTTAATATTCACCAACTCATAATTGAGAATAGTCGTTGTCATACATGTAAGAAATGGATACAAGGTATCGAGGCACTTGTAAACGGGGGCGTTACAGTTTTGTAACGGGGAATTTATGAAGGGCTGATATTGTGATAATTCGAAGGACTTACTGGAGGCCGGAGTTGAATCCTAAATAATGAGTGACCTTACAGATAGCTGAGTTGACTTATGTGAGCACACACCTTCAATAAGTTTGCTGGCCTCTGAAAACGTTACTTGCAAACAGAAACATAGACGTCCACATAGATACATAAAACCAGATATCTTCAATATGCATGCTCCTTTCATGTCCTACTCAGATATCAGTGTACGTTGGAAAATCCATATCTGAATCACCACAAAAGCGACGATATTGTAAATAACTGACACATCAGAATGTAATGATACTCTTCTGAAGAAAACATACAATGGATTAGCTTTAGTATCATTATGTATTAGCTCTGTTAGAATTGTATTTTAGTATAGTTCGTGTATCTACCCTTGTTGTTTCGTCCATATACATTGTACCAGTTACAGTTTACGGTTGAGCAAGAAATTTGACTTGGTTTGATTTGATTTGATTATATATAGACGCAAGTAAGACAAGTTTATAGCCCTATAGGAGGCAATGCTCACTGTTTACAAACATGTTTAGGGGTGCCAGAGTATACAGTGCAATTTTACGGAATACAGTACAATCGTATTAGTATACAGTGCAATTTTACACAATACAGTGCAATCGTATTTGTATACAGCTAGTGCAATTCAATTTTACTTGTAAAATTGCACTGTATACTAGTACAATTGCACTGTATACTAATACGATATCACTGTATTCCGTAAACTTGCATTGTATACTTAGTAGCTAATACGATTGTACTCATTCCCTAAAATTGCACTAGCTGTATACTAGTAAAATTGAACTGTATTCCGTAAAAATGCACTGTATACTCTGCCACCCCTGATGTTTGTGTTAGATACTGGCCCGCCCTGTAGTGCTTCTACAGCTGACCCAGTTTTCCTGTCCGTGTGTTTGTTTTCGCAATTTATCTCAGTTTGTCACTCTCAAGCGGAGCATCGCGCTCTCCGCCGTGCTTGTTTTGTGTCACAGGTCAATCTCTGTTTGCTCGGCCTCGCTTGTGAAGATACCTGTTTCTTAACTACTTGTGAACACACGCAACAGCACAATAGGTAACACATTCACCTGTCAGCTAACGCGAAAACATTGTACGCTTGAGTTCTATTGCTTTGTTACAATCAAGGAATACACATGCACAGCAACAGTATGGATATACGTACCCAGCTGAAAAACAACTTAAAGTTTTAGTATTTGCTGACAAGACGAAAAGTACTGCAAGACTGCAACAACCATAACTTTGACAAGAATTTTGCGGTTGCGAAGTAAATAATGTATATTGTTATGGCCTTTATTTCTCACCAAATCCCCAAAGAGAAGAAAACTTAAAAAGGAAAAGAATAGGGTGCCATGTGTATCATTTGTTACTCCTGTATGTAGATATCATACCATGTTCTTCATGTCGTAGGAAAAACGCATTGAAACCGTGTATGATATCAAAGGTATGGCTACAGACGGTCCCACAGCGACATCTATCATATCTTGTTAGTATTGCAGTGCATTATGGTAGTGACTGACGTTCTAACATGTGTCACTAGAGGGCGCTTCCGTGTCGTCGCGGGGCAAACCATGGGTTGGTAGGTGGGTTTAACTGAAAGGAGAGTGGCTAGGACCAAGGCGCCCATATCACGTAGAACTTGAGCCTGGCGTTTGGTGTAAGAACAGATCAGGGATCTCATAAGATTGTGCAGCTGATTATGACATTATGTGGAATAAGTGTGATCTGGTATGATTTATCATAAAGTTCTGTTTGCTAGAACAGCTGAGAGGGTTTATTTATTATTTCATAAATGATACATGATATATATATCTGAAGTTCCCACACTGAGTTTACAGTAATGTCACATAGATCATCGTTACAAAAATAACGGCGCATCTTTAAGAGTGTTCTGAATCACATTGCTTTGGTAGCCTCCTTATGGCTGCTTAATCGTGTGAAAAGTGTCACTCCACGAATAGAAGAGCAGCAACATCACTTTTGGCATAATTATTTCCTATTTACATGTAGCATGGCAATATATATACCCCATATATTCTTCTTTCAAATTGCCAGAGCAGATTAGACACCAAATCAGGAGGTTTACAGATGTACAAACGTTCACAATACTTAACGCGTATTATCCGTTTTACATCCTATTTTTTCTTTACACAAATAAACATTTTCCTGGCAATATAGCACTGAAAGTCATTATAAGATATGTACATGTATGGTATAGTATGATGCTGGTTAAAGGTTTAGCACAGGGCACAGGTGTTGATCCTTTTTTTCTCGTTATCTTTAGGTGGAGGTGTCGGGGGGACTCATGAAATCCTAATTAATACAAAGATAGCGACTTCATAACTTAGAATCACATATACCACCTGTAAAATATATTTTTAAAAGTTTATACAATAACTACATTTAGCAAACGGTTCACATAACGCATCCATGTTTTTTTTATTGATATTTTTTCCAACTGTGCACGCAATGGTTTTCTATCAACTACAACTATATTTTGAACATTCGCTGGTCTTCTAAGTGACCTCTGTCACCCAGGGGTCCTCCAGGTAGGGCGAGTCCACCATGTTGTCCTCCCCGTCCGGCCTCTGTCTCTCCACAGTGGAGTAGGGCGGGAGGGGGTGCATCAAACCTATACGTGACCAATTGGCATGGAAAATAACATTTTGAAATCAGGAACGTTTGGCTAAAAACATTAAAGCTAATAATTGATTAAAGCTGCATTATGTACCAAGGTAAAGATGCAATGGCAAATAAGTACCATTCAGAAGGTGGAGGGGTCAAAACACAACGCCTTACGAGTGTGTTAAAAAGCTGGCAATACAACTGCCAGCCATGTTTGTTTACATTCTGGTAGTTTGTGGTGGTAACACAAAATGCGTTGTTTTAGCGCTAATAATAAATGTAATACATTATGAGATAATTGTACAAATATGTTGAACAGTAAAAGTATATTACAATCACACGAAGATTTGAAATAGTTAAAATAGTTTTTTGGTACAAAAACGTTAAATAATGCCCTTGCCTTGTATCAGCAACAACAGTGTAAGAGCAGTAACGGCCTTAATCGATATCCGAAGTACTTTTCTCAGCTCAAAATTTCAACTCATTGATGTACAGAGGAGAGAGTGAGAATTGTATCTACCTACTTGGGTAGGATAAGCCGATGGAGTAGGGCTGCTTGTCCATCCTGGGGGGAGGTCGTGGCTTCAGGGTCCCGTTAAAGTCCTGTAGCTCCAGACCGGTCATGTCATCCGGATCCAGAACCGGAACAGACCGGCTGTCCATGTACGGTGGAAGGGGAGGGAGGGCCCGGGAAGCCGTCAGAGTAGAACCTGTAGTTTTCTCTGTGAAATACGCAAAGAACAATCATACTTATTCATAGGTATCTGTTCAAAGTTAAATTTGTTCTGAGTTGAAATTTTCTCACCTAGAGTTTTCGACCAGTTACTCTGGTCTTCCTCAGTAGACTGACCCAGTGAAATTTGCCACGTTGCTTCTTTGCCTAGGTTAAAGGTATTTGGAACAATGGTATCTGGTGACATTTAGAGAATGATGACAAAATGTCTAAAGTATCCTCTGTTGGATGCAGCATTTAAGTATTGTCAGGTTCTTTCATATCAAAATCGTGTTGTGCATGTTTACTTGCGATATATTTTTTTCAAAATATCTGTAGCAGCGACACCTGTGATGCACTGCAATGTGAACTAGTCAGAATCGCCCTGAGGAAGGTGACAGACGGTCACCGAAACGTCGACTGAATAAAAGACTTGGTTGTGTAAAAATAGTCTCTTTACTCAGTGTCTTACCATCCTGATGAAACTATTCACGGAGATCTGTACTATACTAACCACGCTTGGCCCCCGCAGTCAACCCTGTCCTCTTGGCGATACAGACGAAAATCGTGGCGAAAAGAATCAGCAGAACAATAACTGTGACGGAAGCGATGACTACTGCATGCGTGTTGGTATCTGAAGCAAATAATGATGTTTTTGTTAGACGTATCGCATTTAACAAAAGCAATAGTAAACGATGTATGAAACTCTTCTATATAAACGATCCACAGATAAGTGGCGTACTATCAACATGAACAATTCAATATCCAAGAACACGAAATTACGACCAAAAGGGCTAAACGTTCTAGCCAACAGTAAGTAAATTGGGACTAAGAAGTCGTGTACATTCGGGCCAACCGTCCAACACTGAACCGAGACGGGGGGCGACACAGGTTATCTGACACGGACGACCCTTTGCTGCAACACGTGTTTCCGATGTCACGGAAGCTGCAGTAGAAGGTTCCATTCCGTGAACAAGGCTGATGGAGTCGGCCGAAAATTGGGTAAGTCCCAATTTACTTAGTGTTGGCTAGAACGTTTAGCCCTTTTGGTTATAATGAAGTATACCAACACAGATGAACTTTCATGCAATGATACGAAAGTACCTTTGACGTCCATGCGGAACTCCCTCTGGAAGGTGCCGAAGGTGTTTGTTGTCTCACAGACGTAAACTCCGCCGTCTGAACGGCCGACGTGAGAGATCACCAGGGTGTTCGTCACGCCTCGAGGTGACGTCGTTTCCTCCTCTCTGTACATACATTATAGGTGAAGAATGTATACACGTTCTTCAATTCCACATATAAAAGTATGAGACGCCAATCCCGTTCACCTATGGTAAGCAAAGATGAAGATCACAATATCTGATACACATTTCCAAACTGCCTTCACGATGGTCAAATTTTCTTTAACATAAGCATCTGATATTAGCGAGCAATATTCAGTAACTTGTTAACATAGCAAAAATTTGCCTCTTTGAAGCACCGCTGCAGTGCCGCAGGTACTCGCTAAGAGGCTCATTATCGAACTTGACCTTCCTCTTTCTGTATCTTAACCATCTACTAATTTATCATAAATATAATGCCGTACCATCAATGGGTTCTTGACTTATGTTGTCGTCATCCAAGCACATACACATACATAGTTAGACGCGGTACCGTAGGAAAACGCCAGGTGAACCATTTTCGAACTTGACCGTTATTTTCACAACCACTACCCACCTACCAGTTATGTTTGTGAGATACATACAAACCTTGACCACGACCACATGGCACAACCGAAAACATAACCTTCTTCGCGAAGGTAATAATCTACTTGCACGCCGGTTATACCTGATGCCTGCTCGCTGACTGGCTGTGACCGGTTTGTCCTGTTGACCGGGCCCACGCCGCAGCCATCTTGTCTCTTCAGGAAGCGGGTCGGACAGAATCTCACACACCAGTCTAGCCGTGTCTCCGGACCGCACAGACACTTTCAAACTCACCGTGTTGATGTATGGTTTTCCTATAAAAATAAAAATCAAAGGCATGTCTCTTTTTTGTGTGTGTACGAGTACCTTTTGTATGAGCAAAAGAACTTTTGACAATGTATGTAATAGTATATTTAAAAAAAATCAATAGTAAACTAGAAAGAAACATTTGCAAAGCAAATGCATAATCTTTACCTTCGCATATGGTCTGTTAATTCTTACTCAAACACATTCACATATATGGTAACAGGAGTTTAAATCCCCCTAACTATAAAACTGGAACATTATGTAACCCAACACCAGTTACAATGGTGAGAGACAGCCTAGTTCAGTCAGGTCAGAGGTCACTGTTTGGAGGAGAAGAAGAAGAAGAAACGTAGCAAAAACAATATGTTTTCCTTCGGTAAACATAATAAATAATGTCATGTCTATTATTACCTCTGACATCCAGAAAGATTTGTCTGACGGCGTCCCTCATCTGGCCGTTTGACGCCACACACTCGTAGTCTCCCTCCATATCATAGTCAATCCGGGAGAACTGCAGGGGGTTACCAAAGTACAGCTTTGTGCCCTTCCGCCGCCACCTAACGCGAGGCTCTGGATATCCCTCCGCCTCACAGGGCAAGGAGAAACCCTCCTGCCCGACGAATGGACTCGTCTTGCGGTTAAAGTTTGAAGTGATGTGGGGTGGATCTGAACAACAGAAAAAATATGTTTCAAAGGGCGTACATTGCAGAGATAAAGCAGATTATTTGGTGATATTTCCTAAAATTTTCAGGGAAACCAATGAGCTTTCAACGATTGTGAAAGCTCCTTGGGAAACTGATACATTGTACTTACATTGCACAGTTAAGGTGGCTGAGCCGACCCCACTCGGTGCAATACCGTTGGCAGCATGACACTGGTACACGCCTGCTGCAGTTCTGTCCAATGTCGGTAGGCGGAGTGTACCGCCTCTGAAGTCAAAATATATGAGACAGAATGTACCAAATATACGGAACAGTCGCTAATGCCCATGATGTCGCATTGCGATCTCTTTATGAAACGCAGGTGGATCATGAAATGTAGGATAAAGGATTTTTACACATCCAAGAAAGTTTACTTTGCTGACGTTTCGGTGTGTATCATATACCTTATGCATTACGCTATATGCAGCGGCGAGAACATAATCCCAAACGTATCTGAGTTTGTACCCCCAACCCCCCTCTTCGTCCCGGTTCATCACTGGGGTCGACTTTCTTATCCATTTAAATCGTATTAGTATACAGTGCAATTTTACAGAATACAGTGCAATCGTATTAGTATACAGTGCAATTTTACTGGTAAAATTGCACTGTATACTAGTAAAACTGCACTGTATACTAAATTAAATACGATTGCACTGTATTCCGTTAAATTGCACTATATACTAGTAAAATTGCACTGTATTCCATAAAATTGCACTGTATACTCTGGCGGCACCCCTGATTTTGAAAGTCATGAAAACGTAGTTTCACCTGTTTTCTGCATTAGTAGGGATGCTTCCGCGAAGTTTCTGCCATGAGACGTCGGCTGGAGGGTTACTGTCTACGTCACAGCTCAGGTCCAATGTCTCACCCTCATTGGAACGGACCGACTGTGACCTGATTCTTACAACAGGGGAATCTGAAGATACAATGTTCATTAGATTGAAAGTAGATTGAAAGTGTCTATGCTTGTCTTCAGCAAAGGTCTAGTAGATTTACTTGTGACTATATCCATTAGTTTTCGTCTATCTGCAATATAAGCTGAACATGTCATAAGAAAATGATATTCATTTTCAAAACTTTCATATATGAATACACATAATAATAGTTGGATGGACGTGAAGGCTTGGTGTGATGAGATGGCGTGACAAAGACCTTGAGCTAATTTCTGTACAGATCAAGTGATTCTATCTATCTACATGTTAGGCCACAGCAAATAAATTTTATGGATGACATCCTCAGCAGACTCCAAATCTAATGCGAGCGGGCAAAAAAAACAAGGTTCATTTTAAACGGTGTCATCCATAAAATTACTTGTTGTGGCCTTAAGAGACGCACAACAGAACTAGATAGGTAACATTTGCAGAGCGGAACGGAAGAAGAAAAAGAAACGTAGCAAAAACAATATGTTTTCCTTCGGTAAACATAAAAATGATATACACCTACATTTGACATCCAGTATAGTTGATGACGCTGTTGAAGCTGCTAGTTGAGGATGGCCTTGGTCAGCCACACAGGTGAAATTTCTCCCATGATCCCATCTGGTCAGCTCCAGAAGTACCAGGTCTAGACTCGCGATTGACAGGTCCTCCGTCAGCTTCATATTGCTCTGTGATTTATGAAAAAATGATGCAATTTATAAGTCTACTAACATAAACATTGAAAGTATCCAATGCAGTTGTTTTTAAGGCTTAAATTTTTAAAACCACAATCTTAAAGTCAATTTATTAGTCACTTTTCTACATACATATTAAAATTGAAACAACACTGTCCCAATGTACATCGACATTCATGGAGCAAAAATGTCCAAAATTCTGACAAAAACGGTTACTGGAAGGACCTGGATTAATTTCAAGGGCACCACCCAGAAAATAGAGGACTGATCTTAGAGCTTGTTTCTGCAGTTTTATATGCCTGAAGTATGAGATACTGATTCGCACATTGTACTAAAGTGGGACAGTACGTGTTATTATCATACAGATTGCCTTTTTAAAGCTTTTTCAAAATATTTCCCGTTTTGTCGCCCTGAAATTGCATTGGATGCCTTTAAGTGAGTACGAGCATCAAGGGAAATTTAGAAATTAAATTTACACTTAGTCCACAAAATTGTTGCATTGCTCTATCTTTTCCGCGTACTAAGATAAAACCAAATGTTAGACGATTGAACTAGAAGTACACGATGTTCAATCTGCACATCATATAAGACCTGTAATACGCATTTAAACCAAATTGATTAAACAGACAGTCACCCGCAACTTTAGGCATTTTGACTTATGTTTTAGATGGACTGTTACTGTTCAAACTTGTTATCCCTTTCCTCAATCTATCTCCATATACGTCAGGAAGTACTTATCTATGCTTGGTAAATTTTTCATGCCACAATCTAGTGTTACCAACCCATTTATAATTTGAAACATTGCTGGCCTTCGTTTTGGATATTGCAGGTGCAGGAAATGGGCTATGAAATATTCAACTAAGGCTTAAATTACAATTACAGTTAAGTGGTCTCCTGCCCTTTGGGGGGCTTTCGTAAGCAAGGGACGCAAGGCGCGTGGAATGAATTCCAGGGAATTTGTTTTCTTCCGAAAGACGTGTGACATCCCCAATAGGCCTCCATGCTCTGTGATTTCTTACGCAACTGTAACAACCTGGGGATTAATTAGAATTGGGGGTGCACCGGTGATACTGGCGAGAAAAATGGCTTGATGGAAATCCAATAGACCTGCCACAAAACCTAATTCCCTACAGAATCACGTCAGGAAAGTAAAGCGAAATTTCCAGGAAGTCTAATTATATCAGACTAAGCAATGATTTCCAGGAATGTTAAAGAACCTGCCAATGACCCACAAAACCTAATTATAAACCTAATTCCCTGCAGAATCACGTTAGAAAAGTAAAGCGAAAAAAGACTAGAGTGAAATTTCCAGGAAGTCTAATCATAGCCGACTAGGCAATGATTTCCTGGAATGTTTTAAACCTGCCAATGACCCACAAAACCTGATTATAAATATAATTCCCTGGAGAATCACGTTAGGAAAGGAAAGCGAAAACCCTAGAGTGCAATTTCCAGGAAGTGTAATCATAAGAGACCAGGCAATCATTTCCAGGAATGTTAAAGGACCTCCCAATGACGTTATGGGTTAACCATTTAGTTACGCAGTACTAGAATACTATTCATTCACATTGCATTGGCAGCCAAGTTAACTGAATTCCACAAGCATTATAGATTAAAAATTTGTGACTACAAGTTAAGTACAGAACGATGTAGACCGTAGTACCTAAAGTGTTCAACAATATATTAAAAAAAAACAGACAAACTTCGAAATACACATTAAAAAGAACGGCATTGACGATTGAAGTTAGGAACGGTATTGATGTGTGGGTCCGTTAATAACAGAGACAGATCATTTACAGACCCTGATTCCTGAGACTTATTGCCTGAAAAAGGAAGGATTTTCTCAGTACCTGTTGTACTTGTGTGGTGCCGTTAAACCATGTTAGTGTGGGGAGTGGAGACCCCTCTGTTGTCCTGCAGCTCAGAGTTAGTGACTGACCGGCAGTGCTACTGGCATCACTCAGTGTGATCTTCGGAGGTTTTTTCATCGGAACTGTAGGGACATTGATAAAGTAATGGCATGTAGCTAAGTTTAAGTTCTTGTTTAGAGTTAAAACTTTTGATCCAACACAAAACGTTCTCTCACCTAGAGCCTTCGACCAGTCACTCTGGTCTTCCTCAGTAGACTGACCCAGTGAGGCTTGTCACTTGGCTTCTTTGAAGTCTGACGTCAACACTGGGTCACCAGAGTGACTGGTCGAAAGCTCTAGTTGAGAGAACGTTTTGTGTTGGATCAAACGTTTTAACTCTTTACATGTAACTACCAACACAGATGAACTTTCATGATCGTAGACTAAGTTGAAGTTCTGTTGAACGTGTACAGGGCTGTACATAGTGGGTCTAGAATATCGGTGTAATCTGAGTATTAGCATAATGTACGTTATGTGCTATGGAAAGCGATAGCCTGGGTGCCATCATCCATAGTTATCGCCGGCTCCATATTGCCGCTAGCTACCATGGATTACGAAGGATGGCACCCAGGCCAGAGCCTCGGAGGACGTGTTTTTTTTTTTTTTTTGAGAACAGGCGAAAATCAATGCTCGCGTGGATGTCATCCATAAAATTAAATCAGTCTGGCCAAACGCACATGATTGTGTGTGTGTTCTTTTGTGAGTATGTGTGTTTGTATATGTGCCATAATGTCTGTGTGTTTTTCTGTCACGTACCTATAACATCCAACATCATCTCTGCCTTTTCCTGCAGTCCTAAAGTACTACATCTGTAGCCACCAGCGTCTGATACTTGGACATCATCGATTTCCATGTTGTACTCTCCCCTGGCAGAATTCCCAGTGATCCGGTGTCTCTTGTAGAGGGAATCCACCATCCTGTCTGTTGACATGACGTTGAAGTTCGGTGGTCCCTCCCAGATCACCACACTCTGTGCTGTTAGTCCGATGAAGGCACATCTTAGCGTGACAGTCTGTCCCTCCCGTACGGCCAATGACTCTGGGCGTACACGGTAAGACACTGCCTGCACTGCATAAGGAAATAACATATAGCAAATAACATATAGAAATGCTACTTATTCAGAAGTGGACACATCATATGGGAAGAACCGATACCAAGTTCATAATGAGCTTACTTATTGTTGTTTTTCATATGTTGTTTACTTACCTTTATTAGTATTATTATTATTATTATCAATTATGCTCTTAATTGTAATGGAGGGGGACACGAATAAGCCTTAAGGCTTTTATTCCGTCTCCAGCACATTAATTCTGTATAGATTATTTATTTTATTTTCTGTTTCTTCCGTGTATTTCATTTACTTTTTGTATTGTTTTTATATGCAAACAAACAACAATAATAACTTCACGGCCATGTTTCGCTTTTATTATTTTTTCAACATACATTAAAACTACCTTCTAAAGTAAAGTATAAGTAACTTGTAAAGTATTGACATTCTCCATTTGACAGTGAATGAATCATTCTCCTATGCAAGTAATGTATATTGATTGATCTCAACGTTTCCTTCTTTACTTAAAGCCCCAATACTGAGAACCGCACATGACTTATGATGTTGCGTGTTGTTGAATCTATGAAGATAGTGTTCTTCATTGCTATGGATTGAACAGCTTTCCTTGACACGGAATCGGTACTGACAACTTTGATGTAAAAGGTGCCGTGATTGAATTATGTTTTCTCCTTTGATTATCATGGCGGACAGGAAAGCGTCACGAGGGAATACATCACTGGGTCCTGTCAAAATTGGGGTCGCGAACTCTTCTTTGCAAAATTCAAAAGACTCAGCAAATGTGTTACTCTTCAGGATGATGAACATTTCCGCGGGTCAGAAGTGACGGGGGTGGATTAGCACTAAAAGACTTAAAAGGATTCCACTAATTTGGTTTGGCTGTGTTTTTCCAGTATGGGTGGTTACAAATTCGAGTCGGTTGTCCTTGTCGGTTCCAATAGCTGGACAGCGGTTTGTGCGGCTAAAAGTTCTGCCAACTCGTGTAGAATTCACTTTTACGTTGTCAGCTGCGATACACTCCATCTTTGTGTCAAAGCACTAAAGATAAATTGAGGGATGCAATTTAGTTCCTTGGGTAATCACGTCAAAAATTACAGCTCCCTAGAAGTCTGGCTATAGAGGATTAGTGTGAGTATTAATACATGTCTCTTACGTGAATGAGGCAGATGGGTCATAGGTGTTGGAAACCATCTGGATACTCTGAGTCATTCTCATTCCAGACGGAATCTGCTTGTATTGTCCTGCAGCGTGTCAGGCTGCCACCTCCCCAGCGAATGTAATCTAATATTCCTTACCCCGGCGAGATTCAACAATGGGTGATTGATGTTGTGGTGCCCAAACTGGCAACCAGAAACAGTGATGATAAATAGAGCAACTTTTTTTTTCACTATGTAATCTCTAGTAACTGACTACATGTACAGAGAAGAAGTCCTAATGATGATACTTGCACGATCTTCACTGGCAGATTATTCTTTGTTAAATCAAGAGTGTCATAAATATTGGTTCACAGCGTAGTACAAATTGTAGGTTCATCTGTATTATTCTTTGTGTTATTTGTGTTTTGTTTATTTGATTACCATTAGTTTTTACTATGGGATATGTATTGAATGACAACAGGAAATGATCCTGAAATGATGCTTGCACGACTCTTCACTGACAGATTTTTTCTATAATAAATGAACATTGTCAAACATATTGGCTCATAGTGCAAAGTTGAAGCTCATCTGTGTTATTCTCCAAGTCAATGGTTTGGTCTATCCGATTATTCTTAGCTTTCACTCTGTAATCCTTATTTAATGACAACAGGAAATATGTCGTGATAATGATACTTGCACAACTCTTTACTGACAGATAATTTTATGTTAAATGAACATTTTTTTTACAAATATTGTCTCATAATGGACTACAAACTGTCGGTTCATCTGTGTTATTCTCCAGGTCATGAAATTTGTATTGTGTTTCTTTTAATCTTTAAAGCATTAAAGTTCCTCTTTGCGTCAAAAGGAATAAAGGGAACTAGCATTTGACGATCAAACAAGTTGGCATTAAAGTGTGTCTAAAACAGGTTCCATTCATTGGCACATTTACCTTAAAATCCACACCTTTATACAGTTATGTAGTACGCGGATTAAATTTTGAATGTTCTTACCAAACAGTAATCTACCATTACCTCTCTTTGTTTCATATAAACGTTGTCTTCATAACTACAGCAATTACACCAACATAAAGGCGATATTAGCGGTTGGGAACAATATAATGCATCAATGAGCATGCTGCATATGTATATTGTACCAGACGTGGCATTCAGCCAAGACTTGCACAATATTCGGTGCGAGGATTTATCTTCTGGTCCCAGAAGACCAGGCAATTCACATCCCTGGGGCGGTTACACGATACACATAAGCCCGTACAGCCAGGAAGCTTGCCAGCAGGTGGTGGAGAGCTACATCGTTAGCCGATCAATCAGAATTCCCGAAGAGTGTGAAGATCCACCTTTATGATAGAGAGTAGGGATTGCCCGAGCGCAAGAAATGCTTAAGGTCACGATTCTCAACCCGGGGAAGATTCTTGACCAATAAAGGATAACATAATAGAAAAGAAAACTGAACAAAGTTGAAGAGAACTGATTATTAATACTATTTGTTTTATGATAGAGAGTGGGGGTGGCCAGAACACAAGTAATGCTAAGGTCACAATTCCCAGAAGATTCTGGGAATATTCTGGGAGCAAAAAAATATGACATAAAAGAAAAAACAAAACGAAAAACAAAGTTAAAGAAAACTGATTATTAACACTATTTGTTTCACTATAGAGAGTAGGGGTTGCTCAAACACCAGCAATGATGAAGGCACAATTCCCAACCCGGAGAAGATTCCGGGAGCAAAAAAAGGATAATATAAAAGAAAACAAAACTAAACCAAACAAAGTTAAAGAAAACTGATTATTATTACTATTTGTTTATACTGTTGATATGAATTGTTGCTTTTCGTTCATGCAAACAGTCTGGCCTGGTTTGGAAATGTGACCTCAACAGAAGAGGTGGAGATTTGGTCCTCCATTTGGTAAAGACATCTACTACCTTGGGGAACGTTCAGCCTTGTTCCTTTTGACACCAAGGATTACATAAAGTGCATTAAAGTTACATTTATGTAGGATTTATACGCTTAACTACCGTTAAATGACTGAAAGGTCCCTTTGGCTAACTCTAGAGATTTCTGGACCGGCCGGATAGGATATATTAGGCATCTTCTATCCCGTAAAGGGGCAAAACACACACAGCTGTCAGAACATAACCGGCAGGTGTCATTTTTCATATACCGTGCAAACATGCATATAATAGCACCAGGTGCCAGGGTAGTCGTAAAGTACGGTAGAATACCTTTATTACGCCAGAAGTGAAGAATTGCTAGACATAAGAAGTACAATGGAATGAATATATTTAAGCCTCTCGGGGGAACAAGGGGAGCTTATTGCTTATTACAAAATTGAAAGGAATAGATTGCATGGATATGTTATCATCATATTATGTGTTTAAAACATTGTAATTTGCTATACAACATCGCGTTATGATAATATATCAATATTAATATCTTCACCAATTTTTATTAGAACACTTACTCAAGACATTTGAAAGGAAAATTCAGAAATATTAACTGGATGTGGTCACCTTTGTCGACAATGGAGTCTGGAGGATAAAGCAAATCCATGAAATGCGCTCGGTCGTTTGGCAGATAATTGAATTCTACAGTTTCGTTAGAGCTTTCGACGGTCTTTTCTCCCAAGGATTGTAACCTTAATTTCCTGTCCGTTCAACAGAGAGCCATCCTGGAGATGACCGTAGAGCCGCCATGATTAACGGACCCTTAAACAACAAAGAACGCCCATCCCCCCGCGCACATTTATCACTAGATCAGGACCTACGGAATATCCTTTAATGTTGGCAATTTTGCCGGGTCTTAGGTGGAATCCCCATCCCTAGATAGAATACGTGATCCTTCCCAAATGAGCTCAAGGGGTCGACAGCAGGTTTCTCTTGAACAAGGCATAAAATAAGTCGAACAGTTGATCATTAGGGATCTTTAATTTCCAATTCTAAACGTCACAGTGTTCTTAAAAATTTTAGTGTTTTTTTTTTACTTGTGATATGTTTTGGGATTACACGATAAGCTTGATTGATCATTTATCATATGTCAAACTGTAAAAGACCATATGGTTAAATATCAGTAGCTGTTCGTAATTGCTATAATACATATTCTATTCCTGAGACTGCGGGAAATACGTTATCTTTGAGCTGTCACAAGATATGCATGCTCTTCAGGCCCTGTTTCACATTGCCTCCCGAATACTACCGACTTCCCTGAACCATGGTTGCGAGGGCCAGGGAGCAATTGCAAGGTCGGCTAGGTAGGCTACTGTTCAGTTGCCTCAGCCGAATGTTTTCGAACATGGGAGGTGGGGTAGGCTACAGGTGTCTGAGTGTAGGAGGTCCGTAATGTTTGGGACGTGGAAGGTATTCAAATTTGAGTATAATTTAACTCAAATCAAAAGGTAGATGACGTGACATAAATCTTACTGCTCCCGAACTTCACCCAACCTTGGTTGGGAGGTGGTTGGGAGAAGGTTCTGAACGATTGGCAGGGGCTTAAAAACTGCTCCATTTGCCAACTTTTTTTACACACTGAACAATTTACGTAGCTCGGACAAAGAGGACCTATTAAATGCTGTACCACCATCAATAAGCCAGTCACAGGCTTAATTAAAGTTCCATACATAATTAAAGTTTTAGAAAGTAATACTGATGGAGGATTATGGTATTGAGGAGAACAGTTATCTATCCAGTGCCGGTGCGTCGTCCCTTAGATATTGTGATACCGTAAGCATTGGTCAACTTTAACTCAAATACAATGGCGGAAAATCACAAAGGCCTCCTGCATTCCAGTTCCAGTCCAAGATAAGGCATCAATAGCCTGTTATCTTTGAAAAAAAAAATTCAAGGACCAATGAATAAAACATATAGCGTCTCCCTTTTGAGCTAATGACGTCCTTGAAAAAAGCAATCCCGAGCTTGATTGTGGCTTACAAATGTTCCATGATGATTATCGGGATAACTTCCACATGGTGCGGTCAGCTGTAAGAACCTACCGAGGAGGTCAGAGATCACCATACATCATTGCACGTAATCATTACAATCTACGGTGAATGTCAATGATTCCGCTACGCAGAGTTTAGGAACTACTATTTCAAGTCGACCGAGTTTTGCATGGTAATGGGAAAAAGTTCGTAGTGCAAATTACCTTTCCTGATGAAGTAGGTAGCCTTTTTATGCACTCTGTAATCTACTCTGGGGAAATAAAAGACGCAGAGGTTGACCCAGAATGAACTATCAACAAACAATGGAGTGGGACCTACAAACTGACCGAACTGGCTAGAACGTTCAGACTACCTCGTGTGTCGGATGAGAGCATCCCCAAGTCTAAGTAATCTACTCTGTTTTTATTTACCGAATGAAAACATATTGTTTTTGCCCTGTTTCCTCTTCTTCTTCCCCAAACCAATAAGGTCAACCAACTGAACCATACGTCTGTCACCATGGTAACTCGTGTTGGGCTACATCATGTTGCAATTTTGTAACAGGAGGGATTTAGACCCCTGTCTGTCCATATACCGTACATGAATGTGTTTGGGTAAGAATTTACGGAGCAGACCATATGCGAAGGTAAACATTATGTATTTGATTTGCAAATGTTACATTTCTAGTTTGTCAGCTATGTTCCCCTCGTAGCAGGTTTCCTGTTTTTTTGCCGTTA